TTCTGAGGAACAAGGAGGTGTCACTGGTGCAGGTCCAGTGGCAACATCGGAAAGGGTCCGAGCTGACCTGGGAGCCGGAGTTGGAAATGCGGGAGCAGCATCCGGAGTTGTTTGTCGAGCAGGACTTCGAGGGCGAAGTCTGATTCTAGTGGGGGAGAATTGTAACATCCGGATTCCCAGGTATCTTATTTTATGTATTTATATTGAGTTTTGGAGAGGGACTCGGCGAGTAGGCGCTCAGACTCGCCGAGTAGGATCGCGCATGGTTAGACTGGTTTAGTGACGGACTCGGCGAGTACATACGTGGACTCGGCGAGTCCACGCTGTTTAATGAAACCCTAATTCTCGGGGCCTGAGCCCTATTTAAAAGGCCCTTATGGCCTTCAATTGCGGCTACCAGTCCATAGAGAGAAACCCTAGAGTGCTTGAGCGTTTTGAGAGAGAAAGGAAGCCATTCTTGACCTTGGTGGTGTTGTGTTTAGCAAGAAGAAGGAGGTACTAGCCAAGAGAAAGCAAAGGAGGTTGCTATTCTGTGGATTTGAAGCTAAGATCATCGCATTGAGGTATTAATTCGGCTCTTCTTCTGTTTTATGAAGAATATATGGATTTAGGGTTTCTTGTGCCCTTTTCTAGGTTGATTTGATGTCCAAATAGTCCCTTTCTGGTGATGAGGCCTTGGATCTGGATCCATAGAGGTCCAGAGAGCCTTACTCATCAAGCTTTATGGAGAACAATGGAGGTTATGACCTTGGGTTAAGGTATTTGGGGCTAAATCATCATATATGGTCATATAGATGTTGCATGTGCATCAAGATAGAGACTTTACGTGATTATAGTGGTTGGGAAGGCCAGATCTATGGATTAGAGGAACAGATCTGACCTCAGAAGGTCGTTTGAGTGTGAGTATGGAATGAACTCGCCGAGTCCATGAACGGACTCGACGAGTTGAGTCGGGTTGCCCCGCGACTCGTGATCTGTGACGACCCGTGGAGCATAGGGTTGACTCAGTGAGTCAAGAAAGGACCAGGGGCGAAGAGGGCAGGCGTGTACTCGCCGAGTCACCCTAGTGCACTCGGCGAGTAGGGTCAACTGTGGCCGTTGACTTTTAGGGTTTTGGTCAACATTTGGACTTCTGGGTCAAGGAGGGGTAAAATGGTCTTTTACCCTTCTGTGAGATTGTAGGAAGGAATATAGTCTAGCCTTGAGAGCCGTTAATGAGTTGAAGTAATTACTTTATGTGATTAGGCGGGGCTAGTTCGTGGTTTCGAGATTCATGGATATCGAGCACGTGAGTTACTAGACATCTTACGAGGTGAGTCTTCTTATTATACTGTACCTGGAAGGGTACCTATGTATGACCGGAAGGTCTTGTATGCTATGAGATGCATGTGCTATATGCGGTTATATGATATGTATGTGCTATATGTAGTTATGTGATATGTATGTGCTATGTATGTTATGTATGGTATGGACCGGAAGGTCAAGATGGTATGGACCGGAAGGTCAAGATGACATGGACCGGAAGGTCAAGAGGTTACGGACCGGAAGGTCGATACGGGTAGGACCGGAAGGTCTACCGGGATTTGGGACGGAAGTCCCCTGAGACACCTGGATCGGAAGATCCTATAGAGTTATGGACTGGAAGGGCGTATGTATGGTATGTGGTATTTTGGGGAACTCACTAAGCATTTATGCTTACAGTTGTCATGATATGTGTTTCAGGTACTAGCGAGGATCGCGGGAAGGCGCCGGCGTGATCCGTACACACTTGCAGATTTTATGTCATTGAGATTCTGGGAATATGTTTTGTATTGATACAGTGATACATTATGTTTTGTGATTACCATGTGAATGAAAGTATGTTTTAAAAATGAAAAATTGTTTTGAAAATTCACGTTGTTACAAGAACAAGATGAAAGGACGTATAACTTACCAACTTCTTCTGAGGTAGCAGCTTTAATTGTTGGTGACATTTGTGATTCAATTGAAAAAAGGGACATCATTGCTGAAACCTCATCAGGATTACTAAAGCGTATCAGTGAATTACATCATTCTTACTTTGCTTATACACATGAACAGTTGTATGTTGTTTTATCAAACAATAACATTGATGTTGTTTTATCCAAAATTCAAATGACAGGATTTATAGAATGTTGGTTTGTTTCTCAAGTATCTTACTTATACACATGAACAGTTGTATGTTGTTTTATCCAGAATTCAAATTAAAGAATGATTTAAAACTATTAATTTTAGATAACGATAGAAAACAAACAAACAAACCATCCAATGTTACTTTTTATAAAACATCGCTCAATAATTATGTTATTAATTAATTCAAATTATTTTTAAAATTTTCAAAAATTAAATTATAAATAAATTAAAATTATTTTTAAATGTTTCACCCGTGGTGTCACGGGTTATAACCTGGTAACTAATAAGTTACTAATCATATTAATGACATGTAAAATATAGTACTTGTGTTTATTTTGGCACAAAAGAAGTAATTGAATTGTAGCGAAAAATATGGACGTTATTGATTAGGCGCAGGGACATATGTTGACTAAAATGAAAAACGAGTGGGCGTAAAGTGCAAAAGAGGACATCAGTTTTGTTGAGTCACGACTTTGTAACTTTCAGTGGGAAATAGACAGAAGTGTGGTAAGGAGGTAGGCCGCACACTGACTTTTGTGAACCTCTCCAAAAAAGAAGGGTCTTTCAATCGTTGTCATAGCAACAATGGGGGACCAAAAGGAAATTAAAAGAATCTAAGACACATCGTATTCTACTATTCTACTATCATTTAATCAATATATTTTACATAACCTAAATGTAAAGATCGAAGAATTTTTGTCTGAAACTGAAATACTGAAGGAATACTGACAATCTAGGAAACTCTAATTTTGAGATAGATTAGAGGGAAACTAATTTGTCATCATATTAAAAATTACGGATCAATTTATAACGTAATAAAAAAAATGTTTTCTAAAGTTTTATTAAAGATCCACGCTCCATCAGAAATCCATTGTTTGATACTAATGAATTTAGGTATTGTTCACACAGAGTGTTTGAAAGCTTTTAGTTTTTAGTTTTTTACAAAATGCTTCAGTTTCGTTTAGCAAATACGAAAGTTCAATTTTAAATAGATATATACTCGGTTTTAACGTTTTTAATTTTTTTTCGTTTCTTTATTCCTTTTATACCTTTCGTTTTTTTAATTATTATTTTTTTCTTTTTTCTATTTTTTTAAATATCTTTACTACATACGTGAATGTACTAGTGTTTTTCTTTATTTTTGTTTTTATTTTTTGATTTTTTTGTTGGTTTTTTTATTTTTTAAACTAAATATCGGTTTGAGTTTTTAATGTTTAATAATTATAAAATTTTAAATAAGAAGAATATTAAAGATCATAACATTTTTTGTTCATACTTTTCTTGAATCATATTTTTTTTGGATGATAAAATTTTGAATCAAATTATTTTGAATTGTAGTATTTTGAATCAAATCATTTTTGAATCATTTGATTTTGGATCAATAATATATTTAATTGAATATAGTTTTTGTTCAAAAAAAATTATGAATCGTTATATATTTTGAATCATTTAATTTTGAATTATAAAAGATATAATTAAGGATTATAAAACATTTTAGTCTAAATATTTTTAGATCATAACAAATTAAGAATCATAAACAAGTTGAATTAATTTTTTTTTTGAATCATTACATTTTGGATCATATTATGTTTAACATTTTTTTTATAAAAATAATAAAAATAAATACTTCAAAAACTTATTTTTGAAAAATTCTTTTCACTAATTCACTAGTATATTGAGTAGAAGTATCACTTAAAATTTTACGATTTTTGAAGAATTTTTTTTCTGGGTTTTTTCTTAATTAATAATGATATTTTTTTTTTCAAAATTTCGAGATTGTGCTCATTTTGTAGAGAATTAAATTTTAAGAACTTTTAGTTTTTTCATATTTTTTTTCAAAAAACGATATGGATGAAAAAAAACTCACCAAATGAGGGCTTGACATATAGCAAAGAGAGAAAATAGAGGGGAGGGGCGGAATTCACAGGCTGGAGGGTTTTTTTTCATTCTTTCCTTTTACCCATTTAACCTCCAAACAATTAATATTTCTGAGAAAATGTCAAAATCTCGCATATAATTATAAAAACACTATATCATCTCACGAGATATTGACTAAATAAAATCAAATCTCTAACTTTTATTTTTTCAATCCAGCAGCAAAGATTTGTCATCGCAGTCCTGACTTATTTTTCAGTCCTCACTCGATCCAAATTATATATATATATATATATATATATATATATATATATATATATATATATATATATATATATATATATATATATATATATATATATATATATATATATATATATATTAAACAAGTGTCTTTTTATGTAACTTTACATATTTCAAAAGCTTCCAGCTATTTTTGTCAAACATTCAAATAACAAATAAAAGGTTACATCTTCCAGCTACCTCATACAAGCCACTCGCTTCCAACTACCATCAAATTTTATTTTTCATTCAATATAATATAAGGAAAATGACACATTTGCCAACAAAGTATTTCGAATTTCCCTTTTCAGTCCTAAATTTTTTTTTGGTGTTTTATGAGAGAATAAACTTCAAGTGATCTGTCTTTTTAGTCCCTCTAACTTATATTAGCCAGTTTCATGTGCCATTTCAACATTTTCATTTTTAAAAGTCAAAAGACAAGCTCTCAAATTCCCATTCGATAAACATCTTCTATGCTAAATCAATGTCATCTAATTTCACTCATGCATGATTCACATACAATAACCCTGATTGTACACTTTACTACATGAGGATTTTTACCAATTCCAAATTCGATACATATCATCTTTATTACCAAGAGTTGCATACATTCAAATAAGAAATTTCCTAGCTGCTCCTTTTGAATTCCCATGGATATACCCTTCTGATTTCTGTAACATTTCATAGGATTTTTATGGTGTATCGGATTTTAAATACCCATCGGACGTGATGATGTAAGCGTACCAGTTAACTGTAAGTTTAGAGCCTTCTTCCATTATTTTAAGAACTTTTCCCATTCCTTCAATATCGAGAACAAAATCGTATGGACTTAATTGAATGTAAAAAGTTGGTTTATCACATGAAATACATGTTCTAACATTTCTTGATAGGTTTCGTCTAATTCTTTTATATCTCCAAATTGAAATTTCAAGTTGTTGATGAACCACATCGATGAACTCGAAGTGTACAACGGCGGCGACCAAGGGTACCTGAATGAGATCTTCACATGGTGGCATCGGATCCCTAAACATATGAATTTCTTACAGAATTTTTGGGAAGGCGATAAGGAAGAAAAGAAAGTAATGAAAACACGTCTTTTTGGCGCCGATCCTCCTGTTATTTACGTTCTTCATTACCTAGGGTTAAAGTCATGGTTGTGTTTTTGAGACTACGATTGTAACTGAAAACGTGGCGAAGATTAAGGACTTTGTTGGTGACGTGGCACATGAACGGTGATGGAAGGTTCATGATGCGATGTCGGAGAATCTTCATAAGTATTGTTTGCTTATATCAAAGTAGAAGGCAACGCTGGAGTTGGATCGTAGGAGTTTTGCTTCGAGGAGTTGAAAGATTAAGATAAAGGATTCACATTTGGAGAGTTGTTCAAGGAGTTTTGTTTCTGGGAGAATATGCTTTGACAATGGGATGAAACAGATTGCACTTATAATGGGAATGGTGAATGCTCTGGCTCCACCGTCACCGACTACTATTTTGACGGCGGCGGTGTTATAATGATCGGGAAATATGTTTTAATGTGTGCAGTTGATAGTTCGAGTTTTCATGCAACTTCAAAGTTAATTTTTTGTTAACGACTATTGTAAATTCAAAATGGTCTGATGCAAAATCAAATGAGGAAATTTTCAAACAAATTAAGAAGTTAAAGTCAATTTGTTTGTTGAGGTAGCAAAGAAGTCACCGGCTGACCCTTTCGTTTCATAAAAAATGATCAATTAGACCCGACAAAAATAAGTTTATTCCCTTATAAAAAACGCAAATAAGTTAAATGACCGAATCAAAAAAATCGAAATATATTGTTGAGCTAATATGTCATTTTCCCTCTAATATATATACATTTCATTGGAAATCCCGATAATATCTAGTTGTGTCTTGGGATACATATTGATTGTTTCATTATCGAAATTTCCTTTTTAAAACAATATAATAAATTACAAGAATAGGTCCTGTGATTTTGAAGGAATGTGCACGATTTATTATTTATTTGTTTTTCTTTATAATTTGAACGATTTTAATGGTTTAGTTTATTTTATTTTTGGTCCATTCCATTCTTCAAATATTATTTTGTCCTTACTGATTTTTTATTTTTTATTTTTATTTTTAGTTTATCATTTAATACGTTAAAACTTTTATATTATACGGTTGATAAGTTAAAATAACATAAATAATAAAAAAAATATAGTCCTTAATCATAAAATTTTCTATTAGTGAACATTCTCTCTAAGGATTATGAAACTAGAAATATTCTTATTATTGCTTCGATTTATATTCTCCAAAAAGTGGATCCGGCTCTAATAGCTCCGAATAAATAAATATGTGTATTAAGATCCAAAGGCTTTTTTTTCCACAACAACAAAAACATTTTTTCACTCTTTCATATACTAGGGGATTTCACTTGGAAAATAAAAGATATTTTTGGAGCTTTTGACATAAATGGCCTTAAGTTTGGCAAATTTTATCGGTTCTCCATGTGACGATTTTTGGTGTGTTAGTGTCTAATATTGGAAAGTTTTGTTCCTTTTTGCAAGCTCCATTTCTACCTTTCTTCTCCCATTAAATTCATTTTATAAATATTATATATCAATGCTTAACAATAGATATACGAAAAACGTGTCCAACTTGGTGATAAGCGAGCTGCCATAAAGAACAGGAAGTTGTATATTTGATTCTTAGCGGGCTTGCATTCTACATCAAGGCCCTCCATTTTTATAATCAACAAAAACACGCCGACATGACAGCTATGTCAGCTCAACGCTATGGTCAGCGCCACATTGGGACGACCTAATCAACACCACAGAGGCGGGCGACCTACTATAGAAGCTAAAAAAACAGTTGAAGGGCAAAAATGATTTAAACTTCCTAAATATTAGGGCGTGAACACACCAAAAATCGTCAAAGGGACAAAACCAGCAAAACTTAACATACAGACTTTTATGTCAAAAACTCATTTTTTTTACATAGAACATTAAATGGTCTATTGTTAAGTTTATCATTTCTATATATGTTAAAAAATATGTTTAATACACGATAACTTAAAATAGCAAAAAATAATATATAATAAGTGATTTTGTATAAAAGAATAAACAAAATTCTAATCTATTCATATAAATAAAAATCAAGAAATCTAAACATCATTTTAATGAAAGATCCAAATATCAACCATCAATCATTGTAAATTAACATTTCATTATCAACAAACCAAAAAAATTAACATTAGCATCTCAAATCATTGTTTAAAAACTACTTCTATTGTTTATAAATATTGTGGTTGTTATCAAATCTAAACATGACCATTTCACATCTAGACATGATGTTAACGTAATAATAATATGTTGGGATGCAAAGTTCTTTATAGAGAATGAGAAGAGAAGACTCATGCATTTTGATTTTTAGCTTATCATTTGAGAGAGAGAGAGAGAGAGAGAGAGAGAGTTGTACATGCACCGTTATAAATAATGATCGTCATATTCATTATAGAGTGCTTGAGAGATGTAATTTTAAGAGTTGTAAGTTGAGTTAATTATTTAAACTAGATCCAGATCTTTTTTGTATCTCTTCCATATGATCGATAATGTCTTTTAACACCCAAATCATCGTGTCGATTATGTTCTTATTATTTTTCATGCTAAATCAAGCTTTTATGTCTTGTTAAATAGTATCAGAGCAAAAATCAGAAAGATTCAAACGAGTAGTTAATGGATTCACGATTTGACAACTTCGAATTTAAGATTACCATATTTTATGTCTCTAGATTTTAAGGAAATTGTTCATTTCGTTTGTGTTGGATCTGATTGGTTTTTAAGCCCAGTTGTTGATCCAATTTATTGTTTTGTGATTTAGCCAGAAGATTAGCCGAAAATCAAATCCAGCCCAAATTTGTGATTGTTATTGTTAGTAGTCGATTCCAATTTGTTTAATCGATAACTGTACGTATCTGATTGATTCTCCTTCTTTCTCAGTTCGTACCTTCTTGAATCGAGAAAACAGATTTGTTCTTGGATTACAATTAAATATTGATAAAGTATTTTGATTCATGTTTTCATCAATCATCAACAATTGATTTTTCATCGATTTTACTTGTTTCTCTATCACGTATATTCTCATCATCGTGAATATCATTTCCAATCAAATTGTTTTTTTCTTTAAATCTCGTTCATCTTTGGATTCTTTCTCATCGGCATACAATTCTCTTTTATCTTTAAATCTCGTATCTTGTTGTCAATTTAATCTGTCCGACAATTGTTTTCTTTTCCCTCCTGATCGATTTGGTTTTATCAAAATTCATTCATGGTATTGATGATTACTGATGATTCGAAGTCTGATTTTGATTTAATTAAGGATTGTTTTTCCTGGAATTGAAGATATGGGAAATCGATGATGATAAATGGAAGCCTTGGTTTTGATTGGTCAGAGCAGATGCTTAATATTGCCATTCCAAGTCCGCATTTGCTGTGAATGAGTGGTCAAAGCTTAAGGCAAAAAGTCAAAATTAATTTGCAGAGTTTGGTAGTTGGAGTGCTACCAAGTCATCGGGCTTATTTTGAATGAATCGGAAAGATTGGAATTGATGTTTGAAGTAACTTAAATTACATCGGGCATTGAAAATTTGCAATTTGGGCACTATGACAAAAACACTTTTGGGCTTGGCAAGATGAAACCACTTTCGGGTATATATCAAGATGGATTTTGTGTTTCTAGAAATCATAAATTTGAGTTCTTTGCGCTTCAACAACTCAATTTCGAGCAGATGAAAATTTTCAATTCGGACTGATGAACATCATTTTGGTTATTTCAGGTTGAGAGAGTTTTCTAACAATTCGCACTTGTGAAGATTTCGGGTTAATTGAATACATTTCGGGCTTGCAAACTCAAGGGGTGTTTGGCAAATGAGTTTATTAAATTATTAACGATTTCATACCGATATAAATAAAAAAATATTTGGATAAAAATAACTTATATGGATGACAAACCATTAATAAATTATTTTTTAATAAGTTATATCTCTCTTACTTATTAGCTTATAAGCTAATAAACTAATAAGTTATAAGCTTTTTTGCGAAACACCGCCCCAACGTTTAGGTTTCTTACCTGTGTGCTTCAATTAGTGGGGAAGAAGATGACAATGTTATAGTTTTGGTCCCTTGAGTTTCAGTAATGTGGCAGTTTTGGTTTAAATTCAGGAAAAGTTTATAATATTGGGGTGAATTCGGGATAATCAAATATGAATTTTTTTTTCGCAATGATATTTTCATGTGAACAGTACATATTTAATTCATATACAAGTCGAAGGCGATCCAAAAAGTCAAAAAATCAAAAATTGTCATATTTTTTGACTTTTCTAGTTTTGAATCTTCATGTTTATTTCCCTTTTCGAGGGAGTATAGCATTGACATATACGATTCGAACACATTCCCACGCCTATTTAAAGGTTTTATAATCACATTTGGATTATAAAAAGGGGAAGAATTTGGTATGGTCATTCGAAAGAAGAATATGACTTTTCAACATGATGATTTTTAGTGAAGTTTGAAAAAGATTTATTTAAGTTAGGTATTTTTTATGTCTTAATGAGAATAATCAGATTTTATATGTTGTGATTGACGATGTGGGTTAATGTCTCTCAACTTTGGTTCTTTTTGATCAAGTTTGATTGAATATCTTGATCTTGATTTGTTACATGGTGCTTTTGGATCTTCGTGCCTTTATTGAATGTTCATCATGATTGATTTTGAATACCGATGTGATGTTGGGGGGGGGGGGTATAATTCTTTAAAGAGCATAGAAGCGATTCAGATTTATTTATTCGAAGTAGGTATTTTTATGGGTTATATTTGGAACAAGTCAAGATGAATTATTCAAAACAATGAAAAAGTGTGAACTAGAAGCTAGTAGTTAGGAGAATATTAAGAATGAGAAGTTGAGAAGATGCATTATATTTGGAACAAGTCAAGATGAATTGAATACATTTCAAGATAGATTGTATGTGCCTAAACCTGGGGAA